TATCGTACATTTTTGGTGAACAATGTTTATGATTTAAAAAATAGAACGTCTCGCTCTAGAGCTGCCAGACAGATCCGCCAGGCTTCAGCTTCCCATTCTTTACCAAAGTATGCAAATAACTGCCTATGCCGTCCACACTTTCATAAAAAACACAGCAACCCCTGGGTTAGTAATCTATTAAATTGATCAATACAGGAATCGTTGATTTACGTGGTAGAAAAACATAGATCAGTATCGAGGGGAAATAAGAAGCCGACATTGATGGTATCGTGGCGTCGTTGTAGAAAACATCATTTTCTTGTGAAATACACTTTTATGATTTGAAAAGACATGTCTGCCAGGGAATCATATCGTCTGGATACACATTTTTGCGGCCGCCTGCCTGACTTTCCGACTAATACAAGCTACCGTATTGTTATGGTAAGTGTTGGCGCCCGGCTTCAGGCGCTGTAAAGGTCTACAAAAACAGGGTTAATATCCCAAAGATAAGGAGAAGTCAATGGTACTAAGTAACAGCGTTTTGTCCAGATGCCAGGTGTTTTGAGTTCAGACGGTTATATAGCTGTAGAACCACTTAACACGAATAATGCTACAAGCGTTCATTTCAAATAGGGTCATGCTTCGTGCAGCAAACCTCTGAGGCTTCCTCTAGGAGGAATCACGAGTCAAAATACTTTTTAAGGGGTCACAGAGCAGGGAAATAATTATTGTTTGAGAATTTTGATATCCACACCCCAACTTAACCTGCTCTTCTGTTGTCACTACGACAACGTAGCCCTCAAAAGCGAGCTTCACAACACAGTAGCGGCGACGGGTGCCGTTCAGAGCTGCCAATTGAGCCGAATGGAATCAAAGCAAGTTCTAGGTATCACAGATCGTACTTACGCAATCATCTTCGTCTTATACAGGGTGGCCTATCCATGTGTGGACGGAATACACATTTTGGTATAACTGTATTTATGGGATGTTATACATGATATATGAGGGCACATTTCTAAAATAATGGCCAAAACGCAAATTGCAGTTTTTCTCAAAAATTTCAAATGCATCACCCTGTATATTTGTGCAAGTTCCAATTTTTATAAGCTTTTATTGATACCAGACACATGAGAGTTTTTACTGTTATTTTTTCGGCTATTAGCACGTCTTTTATTGAACGGCTTAATTCCCTGAAATATCGCATCATCCTTGGAAACAAATAAATTTTCAAAATTAGCTTTATGAGCATCATAATAAAAACGTGTTTTAAAATGAATTTTTCTAAAGAACAAATGATGAATATGGTCTTCGTTTTGGGCGATGCCTAGTATCTCGCATTTATAAGCAACGGTACCCTAATATTCGACATCCAGGTCCAGAAACATTTTTCCACACTATGGGAACGTTTCGAATCAAGTGGAGCAGAGGAATACAGTAAAAAATGTATAAATAGTCCAAGTTTCACCAATGAGGCGAGTCAGTTGCAGGCTCTATTAAAATTGAAGAAAAATCCCCATTTAAGTGCATGGCAAATTGGAGCAGAAACTGATATATGTAGAACTTCTGTCCAAAGGATTACTCACAAGCATAGGTACCATCCATATTACCTATGCTTGCATAAAGGCCTTCGTCCTCAAGATTCCGCAGCTCGAATGGAGTTTAGTAGAATAATGCTACATAAAGTGAGTGAAGACACTACTTTCCTGGATAAGTTTCTTTTTAGCGATGAGGAAGTTTTTGTTGTCATCAGGCATAACATGCACTACTATGCGACGGAAAACCCTTAATGGGTTAGGCAAAAAGATTTCCAAAATAAATGGAGCTTGAATGTTCTGGGAGGAGTTATTGGCAGACAAGTTACCTTCCTACTTTAACTCTTTGATCGGGCATTTGCCTTTGCTTTTGGAGGATGTCAGCCTGCAAGCTCGGACGCATATGTACTTCCAACATGACGGCGCACCTGCATACTATCATAATCGTGTGCGTAACTGTTTGGACACCTGGAGTAACAATCGTTAGATCGGTCGTGATGGGCCTATATCTTGGCCTCCTAGGCCACCAGATATGACACCGATGGACTTCTTTCTATGGGGCTACGTTAAGCAAGAGGTTTACAGATATCCACCATCTACCCCAGAAAATATGAAGGAAAGGATTAAGAATGCTTTTGTGAACATAAAGGAACGAGAGATGTGCAACGGTCATTTATCCAAAGACTACGGCTGTGTATTCAACATGGTAGGGATATTTTCGAGCAGTTTTTGAAGACTAGATCTTGAGTAGTGACAGTTGTTTGCTTATGTTGTTATTATAGTTTTTTTCCTCTACTACACTTGAAGCTGATTTATACTGTTCTGACTGTTATTAGCTTTCACGTCAAATCTGTACTCTTAGTGGCAATATGGAACTAGCCCACTGTTTGTCTTTTGTTTACTTGGATGATGTGATTTTTTTCCTTAATTTTGGTGTGTTGTTCTATTAAAAGCTCAATAACTCAAAATCTAGTGATTCTATCTGAATCAAACCTTATACCAAAAAAAGCTTATAAAAAATTCAATCCAAACTTGCACCAATATGCAGGGTGATGCTTTTGAAATTTTTAAGGAAAAGTACATTTCGCGTTTTTGACCACCCTCTATGAGCAAAAATGAAATTTCGAAAAAGTAACAAACAGAATGTCTTTTTTATACAAAATTCAGCATTCCAAATTTCAAAATGGCGGATTGAGGGGTTTCCGAAGTGGACGGTTTTTCTGGACGGAACACCTTACATCTCAGTAGCTAATTACCAAAACCCCATAGTATGTTGTATCAATTTTTTCTTTTGAATTGTTGTATTCAAATATGCAATAAAATTGGGACACCCTGTATAATTGCCAATATTTTAGAAATGTGCCTTCAAATATCATGTATAACATCCCATGAGTAGAGTTTACCAAAAGGTATTTGTTTATGAGTAATATTCCGTCTACACATGAATGGGCCACCCTGCATAGTCCTACTATAGTGTACTGATCAATACTAGCATGATCTAGAGCAGTTGTTTGTATGTTTTGTCGTGGCGTGCTTGAGTAAATGCATAAGGGTTGAAATTGTCGTTTGCCAGTTGCTAGTTCCACACCCAAAAAGTTCACAAGTGTCTAAATTCACCCTGAATGAAGGAAAGTCACTCGATATGACAAATCTGTTGACATATCGCCGCACGATTTCGTTTTTAACCGTAAAAAATACAGATCAATTTTTGCTTTATTTTAGTATATACCTTCAGCCCTGGTAATTCTGCATACCTATTAGGCATATTTTACACCTCATAGATTTGCCCTTAAAACTAAAAATATTTTCAGCATCTTATCCGTGACACATGCCGTGCGCCACGGGGTTACTAAGATAAATATAATTATTTCGCAAGTAGTCTGAATACCTATAAGTATTTATCCTAAGAATATACAAAATTTTACATTATCCGTGGTTTTTCGAATTTCTGCAAAAAATCACCAAAGAAATGACAACCTCTGAAGCGACAGTGAGCTGTCACTTATTAGCGTAAGCTCAGGTAATGGTACCCCCTGCGACATTGCAATAGATACATACAAAAGCTGGTATTCCAAATCACAAACGCTAAGCTTTATAATATGTATACAAGTTTACAAGTCATAACCTATTATTAATAAGTCCCATTAATATTATTATAATCGGTTTTCGGAACAGTAGTAATGCTAAAAAAAGTAGTCCAAAAAATTGCTAACGTTACTTATATCATCTCTGCCACCACTATTAAGCATTAGAAGTAATATGGGACTATTTTACCCGCCTAGCAAAATTTGCAACAGTAAGACCGAGTCGTCAATAATCTCGCAAGACCAAGGCTGAGACTAAGCTAGTCTTGATCTTAGCCCTAGCCGTCATGCCATTTATTAAACTACACCTCCTGAAATAGAGTTTTTTTTGTCCATACACATACGGACGCGCTAAAAGCATAACCTTCCTTCTGAGGCAGCCTGGTAAAAATCGCCTCTTACCCCCAAGCTGCAAGGTAGCTATGACTACCATGAGTAGCTACTATTCTTATTCACAAGACATTAGCCTGAGTATTCGGGAATTAACGCGAGACTCGAATTCCCCAGTCTCCTTCCTACTATTTTCTCCTATATATTAATTCACTTGAAATAAATTGCACTCTGAAGTTATACTCTGAATCCTTTTCGCTGAGAATGTCCAAAACCAGCTGAGTGTTGAAAATATGGAACAACCTATGTCTTTCGGAGTTTTTTTTATCGTTCTACAATTTTCAGCTTGCTGTAGGGATCTGGAGCTCTGAAGAACTCCAAATGATGGTTTTAGCCTAGTAATAACTTAGGTCAAAGCAATAAATAATCTGTGCCTAAAATTTAGACATCAATCCATGTGAAGTACTGCTTAATTCTATTTTTGTGTATTTTTTGAGCATTTTATGATCTTGGACAAACAATTATTCAGAGCAGTCAGTGTTTCAGCGCTTTTAATTTTTGTGATCATTCTGAATATCATGTCATGTCATTAAAAGTTCTTAGAATTTCTGTACCTGGAGTTTTGAAAAGTTCTTATATCTTTGTTTGAATTGATATTTTATTGTGTCAATTCATGCGAAATTAGCATTGCTAATGCTTGACTTATGTGAGTAGGAGCGAAAAAGTATGTTTAAAAATTCAATTTGCAAGAAAGTCAGTTTATTGTATTTGTATAAATAATAACTATGTCAATATTACATAAGTTAGTAAAAACACATAAAGCTATAAACAGGCGAACAAATTTTAAAAAGACGTTAAATGAATTCGGTAAAGTAATAAATAATAAGTAAGATTGCACATAAATAACTTTGACAAAGCGTTGGGTGAGTTGTAATTAAAAACATGTATTTCAAATTGACATATCCAATGGGTCAGCAAATTTTTAGAAATGAACCACTCAACAAATAAGTTGGTCATTTTCACAACAAAGTAAATTTTTGATGAAACTACATTAACATCACCCAGAAAATTGATATTATATCTTAAGTAAAAATTACAGTTTATAGAACGTACATCTCGTCGGGTTGCTGCCAAAAAAGAAAAGTACATTTTTGTTATTCTTGGGTTAATGGTATAATCTGTGTGCCGGCAAAACCACATACCTTAATATTAGGAGGAAGAGATTTGTATGCGTGTGCTACAAATACGGTAAATGCAACAAGAGGACATCTAAAACAAGACATGCGCCTGCGATTAGCAACATACAAATTATCGTACGACATTGGCACTTATCTCATTTTAGCAGTTTTGTTTTAGTGCTAATATAAGAATGTAAGAGTGACAATAAGATAAGTACAAGTAAAAAGGTGTGTGTGGCATTTAGGAGAAGTAGAGTACATTTACAAACTCGTGAGACAATCAGTGGCACCTATAATGCATGAATATAGGTTGTCCCAACCAATGGGACACTCACTCTCACCGCCTTCATTTGTTTGGATGTTGAGGAAGGGCTGATTTAATGGCTTATCCTCCACAAGTTGCATGTATTTCACAGGATAGCAGTTGACTGGATAATGTTGGTATTGATAACACGGATCTAGTAGGACGTTTTGGCATAGACTTTGACATTGGCTGCTGGACAAGGCGTTACCTTCCCACTGGTTTCTCTGTATAGTTTGTGGTAAGCATTGACTATGACCTGCCTGCCCCTCAGTCACCAAACGTTGCTCAGGCCTCACCGTTTGGACCGTTGGCTTGCTATTTGAACAAGGACTTGATGAAGCAACTGACAGAGTAGGAGAGGTCCCGTTGTCTAATCCAGGCGTGGGCGTTCTTTGTTTTCGTTCCTTTTTACATTTCATCCTTCTGTTTTGGAACCAGATTTTGATCTGACGTTCCGTCAAATTCAAGTCTTCAGCAATTCGGATACGTCTTGGTCGGCACAGGTACTTGTTAGTGTAGAACTCTTTCTCCAGTTGAACAAGTTGGGATGAAGTATAAGCTGTTCTGACTCGTTTGGTATTTGGAGTATCGCTTGAGCTCGGCTTTGGACTGATTGTACCTGGTGGAGGACTCTTTTCTGTATCTGGAAAAAAACAAACTTTTTAGTTTGGCTACTCATTGGTGATTTTCAGTTTTAGTTTGGCAAATAAATGTTCAGAATACACTATGATATGTGCGAGTTGTTTACACCTTCTCTTACTCGATCAAGTTGTTGTTTCTATCTGAAAATCGAGAAATTAAATATGAAAAGTGAGTTCTAGTGTTGTCTTAGACCAGTATGCACAAGTGCATAACAAGGTAAAGGAGTACCAGTGGAATAAGTTAAATCAGCTGGCGACTACAACTGCAAAGGCTTGTGCAATAGGTCTGTCTTTGACGACCAAGATGATATGTTATGTTATAAATGCAGTATTTGGAAGCATATGACCGGTCTCTCAATGTCTAAAATTATATGAACATGAGCAACTCTTCTCACCAATAGTTATGTAACTTGTGTAGTGCTGAAGATGGAGCAAAACAAATTGATCAACAACAAGCAAAAAGCTACGCCTAAGTTGAATGCAATGGACGAAAGATGCAACGCAGTGCTTACAAAATTTACTGAGCAGGTCAAAATTAATTTACAAGCAGTACAAAAGATGTCAAGAACCTGTAACCTGTTCTTTCATGGAGTACCTTGTAAAGAAGATGAAAGCCCACCAGAAATCATAAACGAGATCGGTAGCTACTATGATGTTCCAATAAACCAAAAGCCCACTGTTTTTTCAATTGAAAAAGATTAATACAAAGGATAGTACAATCAAATTAGCATTTAAGGATGACTAAATTAAAAGTTTCTTCAATAAGAAAATAAATTCAATCCCAAGATTTAAGCTACGCAACCGATAATAAAGTACTTCTAAACCTGAGCTCACAAAGGCGAATGTTAAGCTGTACAAAGCTGCAAGGTTGCTCAAAGATGAAAAAGGCTACAAATTCCTAGGGATTGGGGATAGAAGCGTTTTCCTACGGAAATATGAGCGATCTAAAGTTCTGTTAGTGGAAATTAAGGAGCAGTTGGAAGACTAGAAGACGCTCGAAAACGACTTAAAATTGCTTAAATCAATTGCTAGTGCATCAGGAATAATAACGATCTTGTGCAATATAGTATGTTCAAAGAAGACTAGTGCTTTGTGAATCGTGGTTGCAGAACCGCCTTTTTGAGTTAAAGATTACTCTTCTGTGTCCAATGGCATCGTAAACTAGATGTGTGTTGGTTTAGGTGAACAAGGTGTTAAAATTAGTGTAACATACAATCCATCATCGTACAGCAATAATGATTTTTTCCGTATCTCGAGTGCATCCTCGTTAAGCGTCCAAGAAATCATTTAATATTAGGAGGTGTCACCATAAACCTACTAGAAGATTATCTAGTGACCTTTGACTATACAAATTTGTTAACAGTAAATAACTGCAAAATAAACAGTTTAATATGTGAATTCTCAGTGTTCGTGGTAATAAGATGGATTATAATGTGAGTGTTAAGGAGAATGCCCTGTTGGATCATAAGTTACTGTTAGTGAATGTGAAACATAGCCTCAAAATTCATAAGCCATAGATTATGAACTAAACTGTAGGCTATAACTGATTTTAATGTCTTGTTCAACAGAAGGTACAACCAGTGAATATTACTATTTTCCTGTACCTCATTAGTATAATTCAAAGAATGTAAGGTCAAGTCGGAAAGAATACGTGAGAATAATTTCTGGATAGGTAAAGAAATATTTGAAGTATGAATTTAGTTGCGGAATTGATAAAAAATAAAAACCGATTAAACAATAAAATAAAACACCAGAAGTATTGGTATTTTTGGACAGAGGGGGCTATTATTAATTGTTTGAAGATTGGGAACGTTCTCGTTCATGATAAGGTAGATATCGTAAATAATGTAAATGGATATTTCTCATCATAACATTGTTTTGATAGACGTCACGGATGAACAAGAGGAGAATAAACCCATACTGAAATTAAAAATAAATTCAGCACCCGTTTATGATGGCAAATAAATATTTAAAATGAATAAATAAGCTTAAAATCAGTGAAATTACTTCACTTTATAAATCAGGCGATAAAGACTCGATGAATAATTGTAGGCAAATATCTGTGATCAGTGTTCTATCTAAAATTGTTGACAAAATTATAAAAAAAGAAGGTTGTCGATCAAAAATGAAAATACATTAGCTGAGAGTTACCACTACGGGATCATAAAAAAAAGTAGAACTCTTTCAGTTGCAGTTGATTTTGTAAATCATATCCCAAGGGCGCTGGATGAAGAGCAAGTGGTTATAGCGGTGTTGACAGCTTTAAAAAATCATTTGATGTGGCAGACGTCAATATATTATTAGATAAGTTCAAAATGTGGGATATAGTGGTGCTATGTATAATTTGATTGGAACTCATTTACTTAACAGGAAACAATATGTGAAAAAGGGTGAAACAAATAGCGACTCGTTATTTAGGAAGTATGGTGTTCCTCAGGGGTCATCTTAGGACAATGTTTATCTCTCTATATGATCTAAATCTAAAAAGTGCTAATCTTAATGTAAGGTATTTTACGAGTACTTTTGCTGACCACGCAGTTCTCTATAAGGAAATCATGAGTAGGCTCTGGGTGGTGAGGAATTAAATTTAGATATTGCTCTTTACGGTAAATGGTTGTATTCAAATATATTGAAGATCAACATCGATAAAAATATCTAATTTTTGAAGAGAAGAATAAAATAATTGAAAACTTTTGTATAAGAATAAATAACGATAGAATAGAAAAAGAATAAAGCATCAAATGCTTGGGTTTAATTATAGAAGAAATCAATTCTTTGGATAAGACAACTCGATGACAGCTGCTTTGTACTGTTCAGTACTACGTAACTACAAAAAGTAAAATAAACATTTATAATGCATTTTCCTTGTCACACTTTAGATATATTTTACCTATTTGGAGGAAGTGTGGTAAAACTTGGGGCACACGTTTCGCAAAATGGAATATTAATAATTTTGTTCAACTATGACCGACCTGAGAACTCGGATAATATGTAAACAGACCTGAATTTTAGTAAACTAGATGAGCGGTTAGAATTAGATTAATATGAAATGATTTAACAAAAACAATGACTTGTACCGGATTCCTGCTAGAGCTAGTATAGGATTAAATAACCATGTCACTGATGCAGTAAGAACATATAATAATCTACCAAATAGTGTAAGAGCACATTTATTCAGAAATTAATTAAAACACTCAAATGTCACTTGAATTATTGTTGAATTTATTGTTGTTAATATTCGCACTTGAGTACTGTTGTTCTCAAGGCCAGTGTTCTAAACACAGATTAGAGAACTTTGTTTACTATAAAGTTTGTAAAAACTGACTGTTGATTAACGATTTCTTTAAAATAAAATATATGTTCAAAAATCCTCATTTAATTCGTTTAGAACAATATGCTCTTTAGCGCTTTGGGATAACCGTACTGTGAAACTTCTAGCCACTCCTGTTAGCCTGTTCGCGCAATCTCAGCAACCGACTTTGATAAATTCTTTTGATACAGTACTATTTGAGAATCGATGGCACAGTAATTTTCTTAGAAACGATGAATAACTAAATGATAATTTTGTGGAAAAAAATATAAAATATGCATATATATTCTGCATTTTGAATTTGTATATATACGAGTAGCTCACCGTCGGTTATTAGTCATAGTATTTAAAACAAAATTTGGTATTGCTTATCACTATCGTGACTCACCTGTCGATCTTTTATCTTGGCTGTCAGCGTATTCGTAGGGAATTTGGATGCTATAGAGCGGTTTTCCCTGGATGGCAACTTGAACATTCTGGGTCGGAAATGAAAAATTGGGCTGTTGGTCGTTTGTACATTTCGATAGATGTTGGTTGATTTGTAGATCCTGATACTAAAACAAAAAATTGTTATATATATGACTACATTTTCATTGCTTTCGTCTTGGAAGCTTAAAGCTAAATGGTTGTATAGTTGGTATGAGATAATATAATCGTTAGAAAAATTTTGAGAAATTAAATCAAAAGTATAAGAAAAAAATATCTTCATGCGGAAAACGTGTTGTAAATGATGGTTATGAGACTGATTTGATTTTTTAAATTTTTTGCGTACACACGTATAACAATAGAAGCAAGCACTGGTTTGATCACCCGTCTTTGCTTGGAAATTAAGATTCAAATAAGGATTTTTTTAACCTTTAAACTATTTTTTTGACGTGTACATTTTCATTCGTTTTGTCTTGAAGCTTAAAGCTAGGTTCTACAGTTGGTATGAGAGAATATTCTGGTACCAAAAAGTATGAGAAAAACGTATCTTTATGCGGGAAACTTGTTGTAAATGATCGTTATGAGACTGGTTTGATTTTTTAATTCTTTGCGTATACACATATAACAATGGAAGCAAGCAATGGTTTGATCACCTGTCATTATTCAGAAATTCGAGTTGAAGTATAGATTTTTTCAATCTTCCAAGTATTTTTTGACGTATATACCAGCATGTAAAATTTTATCCATCGTCAAGCTCAAATATCCTACTTTCCATGATGCACAGTTTCAAAGATGCTTATATATTTGACTAATCTTTAAAGTAAAATACAAACATCGAAATAAGACCGTACAAGGTGGTCGATTCTGCTAACAGCACTTTGTGCCGAGAAGTTGCCAAATAGCAAAAACGGACAAACGAAAGCTATAGTAATAGTTAAAATACAATTGTCTAACTTATTTTGTTTCTCTTCGTTACAGTGGCAGCAGAGTTTGATTATTCCTCTGATTTTAATTATGTATGAAACTAGAATAAATTTTACATCTACTCACCACAAAGTTGTTTTGCACCTGGTAGTTGCTTGTAGAAGCGTTTCCTCCAGCTTGAAAACCGTAATTTTCACCCCCGCACTCAGCAGCAGGCCCAGCAGCACTATACGGTGGCGGAGATTCGGTTGAGTTCGAAAGCGGTGAAACACCTTCGGTCAGCAGCATATTGCTGTAAGTTTCCATGCTCTCAAAGTGGTTCTCGCTGTAATGGGACAGTTGGACAGTTGAAGACATGCACTGCAATGAGCTGAACTTTACTAGTGACGGGTATTTATAGAAAAGTTTGACCACTCCTTATCTCGGTATCGATACTCCGATTGGTCAATTGCAGGTTACATCCGCCTACCTGCTTCTTATTTTGGCAGAGTCGGCATTTTAATCCGTAAGATGTCAAATTTTATGATATCGACAGGCTAGCGCAGGAAGAATGTTTTAAAACTGTAATAGTAAGACAGAATTGGTAAGGAGACAAGATTCTTTATTTTCTTCATCGCTGCTGTACCAAAGCTCTTAAGACTGATTTAAAATAGTTCACTGGCTTTTGTTGCCGATGTAACGGTAAAGTAATTTCATTTTTTCTTGGAGTACTTTCAGTATAAGTCATACTTTGTGGTGTATTGTCTCAAAATATAATGGGCACACAGTACAGGGTGGCACAACATGATCGCTAAGACTTGAAAAATAAAATAGAAAGACACGTTTTTAAAAATAAGTTTCCAATCAACTGTTAAAACTAACTACAAGAGAATGGGAAACGAGGGTGGGCTGGCCCTGGACTGTCTTCAGCGCTACTTTAAAAGAGGAAAGGATGACTGCAGGTGCATACCAAGGTAAATTTTTATAATAACAGAGTCGGAATTCGATTAGCGATCTGGAATGTAAATCGTCTCTTATTTTGGTACTCAGCAAGTGATCATCTAGTATTTTTCTCCCCTTACTACTGTTCGTCGATATTGTGTTGTTGGAGTGTTGTGCTTTACTCTTGAGGGTGTGATTGTTCTTGAGTGCCTTTTTTTATCAAGGCTGATAATGGAAAGTAAAGGGTCATCTGCGACCATTTTAATTACGAATGCAGTGAGTTTAATTCATGATGAGGTCAACAATAGTGTGGAGCAGTTCAACTCTATAATCGCAAAATACAGTGGGGTAAACGAGTAAATTATTGCAAGAATAGGTCATACCATGGAAGACGTGCTGCAGCTGTAGTGAGCCACAATACCCAGCGGCCTGTCTATGTGGTCTAAATACATTTGTGTTCTAAGCTTAGTTCAGCCTCGCTTATCGCTAAGATGGAGCAAAGACTCAAACGCAAGAATCTTGAAGAGAAACTCAGACCAAGAAAAGGTGATATAAAAATAACTAACAATTCGGTTAGTAATTCAAAAGAAAATGAATAGTTCTATGGCGAATTCAGTCCAAAACTTGACATTAACTACATTGATTTGGAGGTTGCAAAGCGGAAATTTTTAGGGAAACTTAAAAAAAGTGACGAGGTTTTGCAGATCGAACAAGTCACCAAATCACAGGACTGTACTTTGTCGCGCCTTCATCGGAGGATAAGCTTGACAGCGTCTCGATTTGGTGAAGTTTGTAGAAGCAGGCAGACAACAAGCTGTAAAGTTCTAGTAAACTCCAACAAATACCCAAGCGAGTTTTCTAGTAAGGCAATAAAAAAGGCAACACAAAAATCATTGGACACCGCAGTTCAATCTTGTGGTTTCTTTATTTATCGCACACATCCATTTCTGGTAGCATCGTCTCCATCTGCCTATTACAGTAGACAAGAAGTGTACCTAATCCAGGTATATGCCTACCTATTTAGTGCTTTGCAAAAACTAAATAACTGTGTCCTCTTATTTTGACGGCGTAAGATATTTTTATGACCTTCGTTCAATTGTTACCATGTACCATATGACCCTTGTAAACATAATTGTGTTTACTGATATGAATAAACGAATTTGAGTTTGAGTTCTTGAATTTATTTTAGGAAAGATATCAAATTATTTGAATACATTTTTTCTTAGTCGGAACGCACCGTGGACTGGCAGGACGAAACAGTAGACGAATTTCGGCCAAAAACCGATTTGCGCTTCAGAGCTTACGTTTCATTTTTTATTATTTCCAAATGAAACTCTTGCAGCGTGCTAGTCCACAGAGTGCTAACGGTCCACTTTTTCGATTTTATCCACTATAATCTTCTTAAAATATCAAGAAGTTGAGCACAAATAGTAAGCATTTCAACCCACCATAATTCTTGCGCAAAGACAAAATTTTGTAAAAAGCTCTGATAGCACCTTGGGCAATTATGTCCTGGTTATATCCAGAAAAACATCACAAACTGAAAAACACAAATTGAAGGTAACGGCGAAATGGGTACATTTCACGGGTCATGAAATTCAAATGAAAATGCAGGTATAAAATCTACCAAATTATCGTTCTCAAAAACATATTTCATTGACATATCGATAATTTTAAAGTTGCACGCTAAATTCCCCTATACTTGACTGGAGTGATATCCGATTTCATTCTTCCCTACTGTCGGCAGTTAGAGATAGATTTGTTGGCTCTTGGTGTCAAACAAATAGAGCAGGTACCGATTTTTTTGAAATCGTGAGCACCTTATTCGTTACTTAAATTTCCTGTAATCACTGGGATCAGAAGCTTCTTAATAATAGAGCGTGTTTCGCTGATATCAAAGATGCAACATTTAGAATCACATTCCCCTAACCTCCACTTTTTAAGTAGTACAATTTTTTTCTGTCAATGATAAGGAACCCCTGTAATGTCAGAAACGGAGTTTCAGCAATTGTTACTTTTTATTTTTTGCCTATAACACCGTAGCCACTGGACTAAAACTACAAAGGTTTGGCATACTAGTAACCCTGTGTGGAAATTTCATAAAAATCCGAGCGGTAATTTCCAAGTTGATGATGAGTGATATAGTTTTTCGTGACGTAGATGTCATATGACTTAAAAAAAACATAACATCTCATTTTAGAAATTTTTCGCAATTACAATACCTCCTCGCCACTGACGTGGGAAGTAAAACGGCTTTAAAAACGAGGAGTATAAGCGATCGTGATTAAGCGTACCTATTTACAGAACGACTTATCTATGCGATATTATATGAAATAGGGCCACCAAATTATCTGAATACGTCCTTTCCTAGTCCGTACATTGCGCCGCAACGCTTGGGTTGGCAGCACGAAACAGTAGACAAAATTCGTCCAAAATACGGTTTGTAGAGGTTGGCGCGCTTCGAATTTGACGCTTTGCTTTTTGATGTTTTAGAATGAAATTTTCACAGTGTGCTTAAAACAAAACCCCACTTTTTCCTTTTTTTCACTAGATCCTTTTTAAAAAAATCGCGAATTTGAACAGAAAAAGTGCTCACTTCAACCCATCATAAAACAAAATTTCAAAAAGTGCTCTTATAGCACCCTCGGCAATTATCTTCTGAACATACTGTATGAATTTCATTCAAAAGGATTGAAGAATGGAGTGTCAGTTTCGAAGCAGCTGAACCCTTGTAAATGGCTTGAAACTTACTGCGTCAGAGCCGCCTTCAGCTTCAAACAGAATTGAAGATCATTTGTCTCCAGTTTTCACACAAAATCGTATTACGTATTAACATCAAGAGGGAAAAACTACATGCACGTTTTTATTTGAAAACTTGAAACGAAGGAACTTCACTAAAGTTAAAGTTTAAATGTTATAGAACATAAAACAGCATATTTTTAATCAGAAAAATACTGGATCTTTAGTTCGGCATAGTGGATACGTAAAAGCTTGTCTTCAACATACAATATTTTTTTCATGTTTTTCATTTTCCTTGATAGGTTGCAGACCAGTGCTGACAAAGCCTGGCGCAGTGAGTCATTCATGGTACAGCTACTTAGCATATTTGGGGCTGTTAGCTTATTGTGTACCCGGGTGCCCAGATGAATCACCATTCTGAGTCTTATCAATAACATCGCCTTGGTGGTAGTATTAAAATCATAAAAGGCTTGCACTTTGTATCCATATTACAGGTATTATTACAGAAATGATATCGTTATTTTGAAGCAGTTGCCATATTGGATTCAAAATAGCGACATTAAATTTATGCATATAGTCATGAAAACCAATCGTATATATAATCTTGCAGCTCAGTCAAGGTTCAAGAATGAAGAAGTCGCAAGTCTGAGGGGTCCGGTATATAAAACTCTTCCATTTGATACCCAAGTTGTAGATGTTGTCACGGAAATGATAAATCACCATTTAATAATAATAATAATAATAAAGTTTATTGCAAAAGAAAAAGTATAGCAGTAGTAGATGAAAGACAATATTATACAATAAACGAATGGACCCAAAAAAGTTTCGCAGAAACTTGTGCTTGGGCATGAGCTCATGTATAAATAACTTAAGACTAAAAAAAACATAAAAAAATATATGTATATAAAATTCATTAGACAAGTCCTGGTAAAATTTTTAAAAAGACACAATCGGGACGGAGACGCAAAATCGGGACGTAGACGCAATCGGGATAGAGACAATATTGAAACAAAAGGCAATATTAGGTGAATAGACAAGAACAAAAATTGGTAATTGGTAAAAATAAGTCATAAAATGCAATAATTCAGGGGGTTAGAGTTCAAATCAGTTTGATTTATACATATTTTTTTTTTCATTTTGAACTTTCAAATATCTAGAGAGATTTCCGCTTTCAGTAGTAGTAGATATTTTTGATATCAATCGCTTGATGAATCTTGAGCCTGTGCTGGTCCAAAATCCACAGTCGTAGATGCCTTTTCATAACCTTTTTATTTTTAATATCTTTTATCTGAGGGGGGATTAAGTTATATATTTTTGGTCCTAGGAAATTGAAACTCCTCTGACCTATGGTCTTTTTAGGCTTTGGTATGCGTACTGAATGATCTTTGGATCTGGTGTGATGGTCATGTGGGAGGAAAGTTAATAAATGCTTATGTTTTGTAATATATGTGAACACACTCTCAAAATAGAGTTGCCTACAATCACATATCTTGGATACCTTATATATCATACCGTTTGCATAGGTGTTAGTTTTGCGGAACATGATTTTAAGAATCCATTTCTGAGTTATTTCTAGTTTCCTGTAGTATTTATTCAACACCGGTCCCCATGCCAAAATTCCATAAGTTAACAACGGTTGTACTAAC